TTTTTTTTTTTTTTTTTTTTTTTTTTTTGAGACAAAGTCTTGCTCTGTTGCCCAGACCAGAGTGCATCTTGGTGTGATCTTGGCTCACTGCAACCTCCACTTCCCAGGTTCAATCAAGTGATTCACCTGCCTCAGCCTCGTGAGTAGCTGGGACTACAGGTGCCTGACACCACGCCCGGCTAATTTTTGTATTTTTAATACAGATGGGGTTTCACCATATTGGCCAGGCTGATCTCGAACTCCTGACCTCATGATCCACCTGCCTTTGCCTCCCAAATTGCTGGGATTACAGGCATGAGCCATCTCGCCCAGTTCATCTGTTCGTCCATCTGTCCTTCCTTCCTTTCATTTTTCTCTTTTTTCTTCTTCCTTCCTTTTTCTTTCTTCCTCTCTCCTCCTCTCCCCTTCCTTCCTTCATTCTTTCCTTCCTTCCTTCCCTCCTCTTTCTCTCTCTTCTTTCTCTCTTTTCTTCCTTCCTTCCTCTCACTCCCTTTTCCTCCCTCCTTCCCTCCTTTCTTCCCTCCCTCCCTCCCTCCTTCTACCTTCCCTCCTTCCTTCCTCTCTCTCTTGGTTTCACTCCCATAACCCAGGCTGGAATGCAGTGGCACAATTAGGGCTCACTGCAGCCTCAACTTCCTGGGCTCAAGTGATTCTCTCACCTCAGCCCCCAAATAGCAGGGACTACAGACACACACCACCATGTCTGGCTAATGTTTTTTCATAAAGAGGGGGTTTTGCCATGTTGCCCAGGCCAGTCTTAAGCTCCTGGGCTCAAGTGATCCACCTGCCTCAGCCTCCCAGTCATTTCTTTCATTTACCACTCTTTCCTGCCAAACTGCAATTTCTTCAAAGTCTGGGCTTGTATCATCTTTTTTTTGTTGTTTTTGTTTTTGTTTTTTTTAGACACAGGCCTTGCTCTGTCTCCCTGGCTTGGGGTGTAGTTGTGTGATCATAGCTCACTGCAGCCTTGAACTCCTGCCCTCAATTGATCCTGCCAAGTAAGTAGCTGGGACTACACTTGTGTGCCACCATGCCCAGCTAATTAAAAAATATTTTTTTTTGGTAGGGACAGGGTTGCCCAGGCTGGTCTTGAACCTCTGGCCCCAAGCAATCCTCCAGCTTTGGCTTCCCAAAGTGCTGGAATTACAGGTGTGAGCTGCTGGCCCAGCCTCATCAACTTTGTATCTCACTCCCCTCCTTCCCCCATCAGAACCTCACCCAATGCCTGGCATATAATAGTAGCTAAATAAACAGGCTGTACTTAAATACTGGATCAGTATTCAGTCAGTCTTCCATCTCTCACACAGAAGGATGCTAGCTGGGATAAACGGGAAAGAGCTATGAACTTGGAATCAAACAAGAATTTTTTTCAAACCCTGACTCAAGTCTTTTAACCCCTTTGGTCCTGTTTCCTTGTGTGCGAAATGTGTACCCTGATCCCTATCTCACCTGAGTGTCTTGAGGGTTAATGGTGGTGCATGCCTGTAGTCCCAGCTACTTGGGAGGCTGAGGCAGGAGAATCACTTAAACCTGGGAGGTGGAGGTTGTGGTGAGCTGAGATGGAGCCATTGCACTCCAACCTGGGCAACAAGAGTGAGACTCCATCTCAAAAAAAAAAAAGATAAAATGTGAGTGCGGTGGCTCACACCTATAATCTCAGCACTTTGGGAGACTGAGGCAGGTGGATCACTTGAGGTCAGTGGTTCGAGACCAGCCTGACCAGCACAGCAAAAACCCATTTCCACTAAAAATACAAAAATTAGCCAGGCATGGTGGCATGTGCCTGTAATCTCAGCTACTCTGGAGGCTAAGGCAGGAGAATCGATTGAACCCACAGGGCGGGGGTTGCAGTGAGCTGAGATTATGCCATTGCACTCCAGCCTAGGTGACAAGAGTGAAATTCTGTACCCCCCCTAAAGAAAGGAGTGTTTCGGGCCGGGCGCAGTGGCTCAAGCCTGTAATCCCAGCACTTTGGGAGGCCGAGGCAGGTGGATCACAAGGTCAAGAGATCGAGACCATCCCAGTCAACATGGTGAAACCCCATCTCTACTAAAAATACAAAAATTAGCTGGGCATGGTGGCGCACGCCTGTAGTCCCAGCTACTCGGGAGGCTGAGGCAG